CAGCCCATCAGGAAAGCCCTATCTTTATACTCTATTTAGGATTTGACCACTTCTCACTCGCTGGATTGTTAGCCCCTGAGCCAAGCCACCATCACAACGCCCCTGAATTACTAAGATGCTGTCCTAACTGGGCTCCCTGCTTCCCCTGCGCACCCTAATCGTCTGTCCTCAGTGTGGCATCCCCAGTGACCATTCCTCTAAGTCAGATCTTGTGTCACCCCTCCTTTAAAGCTCCCCAGTGGCTCCCATCTCACTCAGAGTAAAAACCAAAGTTCATCCAAGGGCAAGCAAAGCCCTTAAGTGCCCCACACACCCTCTGCCCTCCTTCCCAACTCTTCTTCCCTCCGTTGGCCCTGGTCCAGCCACACTGGTCCCCTGCTGTTCTGGAAAAGTGCCAGCCTGCTTTATTCCCATTTGCTCACCTCCTTCTGAGCGACGCCTTCTCCACAGCCCTATTTAAAATTGCAAACTCCTCTTTACCTGGGACCTCTGGTCCGTTTCCCTGCTTTATTCTCCACCTGCTTATAGACTCTATAATGAATATATTTATCTTATTTGTTATCTGACTCCCTCATGAGGGCAGAGATTTTTGTCTTTCTCAGTCACTGCTGGTCACACGTGGCACCTAGCACCTAGTGGACCCTCCATAAATGTTTATTGTATGAATGAACTGAGGATGTCGGGAGTGCCTGTCCATCAGCACCAGCACCAGCAGATTTTTCCCTTGTAGGATACAGGCTGTTCTTGCCGGAGCTGTCAATTTTTTTTTTTTTTAAACAGAAATGCAGGTATTTCTGAGAAATCTTCAGTTTTCACAAAATGTTGGCAACTAATTCAAATTTTTAAATAAGACTATGTATTGGGGAGCCTGGGTGGCTCAGATGGTTAAAAAGAGTCTGTAATAAAAATTTTTTAAAAATCCATTCCTTGGCTGAATTTGACCCACAGGCCCACAGACCCTGGTTTGCACTCTGTAGGGTACGTTGGACTGGCTTTGCCATCTTCACTGAAGACATGCAAGCTTTCCAAAAATAGTAGCCATAAAATTTATTCCTAAGCTTTTCTTCTTTGTCCCTTGGTTCTAGTCCAGAAAACAGAACTCTAGAATCAGAGCAGCAGAGGAGGGATTAGGTAAGGCTCTGGAGAAGGACAGTGTATAAAGGGGCTTCCCACCCGTGAGTCCTTGGATCTGGGGCCTGTGTGGGTGCCCCCTGGTGGGGGCCAGCAGTGGTATTCAAGTGTCCTTAAATGGTTGTCACTTGTCTTCCAGACAGGCATCATCTCCTCCCACAGTGCTGGATCCCAGGCAGTCCACCAGGGCAAGACTTGTAGGAAAATACAAACCAAAATGAATTGATAGGCTAAGCCCCTCTGAGGTGTGCTCCTTGGAGGCCAAAGCCCCAAAAGCGTGACCAAACAGGATGCCTGCGAAGGTAAGGGGTAAGAGGCATCCTCTTCTGTTGCTGGCCAAAGGCTAAATCGGTCCATTTCTAGAGAAGTAGTTTGGCAACACTTATCAGACGTCCAAATGCATGTATTCTTTGACTAAGGAATTATATTTTAATGAATTTATCCTACAGATACACTCACGTGTGTTTGAAATGAATTGAGATGAGGTTTCTCAATGTGACACTGTTTGTCGTAACAAAAACTTGAAAATAACCTAAATGTCCTACAGTGTGTAACTAGATAAATTATGCTAGAGCCATGCAATGAAATGCACAGACATCAAAAATAAGAAATAAAATCTGTATGTGCTGATATGTAAAGTCCTCCTACAGGGTTGTTTTATTTAAAAAAAAAAGCAGGCTGATAATATTGTGGACACTATGCTACCATTTGTAGCATGAAAGGGGATGGTAGGCGTATAGCTATTTATTCTTACACCTATAATATATCTCTGGCTCAACACAGAGCAGTCCAGTATCATCAGTTACTTCTAAGAATGGGATTTGGTGACAAAATCGCAAGGAAGAAAAAATTGCCAATAAATTTACTTTAATATATTTTCATTTTTAACTACGTGAATGTTTACTACATTAAAAAGAAAAAGAAATGTCATATTATATGCTTGGAAATCTCCCTAAAGGGGCACCTGGGTGACTCAGTTGGTTAAGTGTCTGCCTTTGGCTCAGGTCGTGATCTCAGGGCCCTGAGATTGAGCTCCACGTCAGGCTCCCTGCTCAGCAGGGAGTCTGCTTCTCCCTCTCCCTCTGCCCCTCCCCCGGCTCTTGTGCTCTCTCTCTTTCTCTCTCTCTTGCTCTCTCTCTCAAATAAATAAATAAAATCTTAAAAAAAGAAGTCCCCTTAAAAGATACCCATTGTAGTATTGTTTATAATAATAAAAAAGGGAAGCAATCTTGTGTGTCAAATAATAGGATATTGGTTAAATAAAAATTTTACCGTATTTAAATTTTTTCTGATTTTATAAATTTCCAATACAACTTTTTTTGCCTTTTCCTCTCTTGATTAAACATATTGCGTGTACCTTCATGTTGGAATATCTCCATTCTTCAGATCTTTTTAGTTTTTTTTCCAGACCTTCGTCAGAAGAGTCTTTTGTTTTCTTCTTTTTTGTTTTGTTGAGGGGTGGTAACATTTTGTCGAAGAAAGTAATGATAGCTTTAATAACATTGATGACTTAGGGCCAAGAAAAAAATTAGAATAATCAAGTCAGCAAGCTTGATTCTTTTTGGTAGATGTCTACATAACCCTTAATTGATTAAAACATTAATACTGTTTGCTTTTCTTCAGGACTTATTGATAATCAGCCATAAGGAGAAATTTGTACTATTTCACATAGGTTGAGATAGCTTTCTCTTCCTCTCTAATTCTGCAATTCTAAATTCACTTTTTATTGGAACATCATACATTCCCTTTTCCCTGAAAACACATTGTAGAAAGTGACTTAATCTTTCTATGACCTTATTAGCCAAAATCCAGCAATCATTAACATTATTTGACATGTAAACTTGGACAGAACCCTTTTCTTTGCTTTAGTTTTACTTCCCAGTAAAATAAATTGGCCAGCTATTAAGTACTTGGGATGGTGTTGGGCATGCAAGAAATCATAATTGTGTTTACATGTGATACATAATTTGTATCATAACATGCATTTACTCATACTTCTGTAGAGAGTTTGCCTTTCCTCCATAGTACTCTGTAACTGTGATTTTAAAAAAATTAGCAGATGGATGCTATTCTGTGGCAAATTTTTTGTTTCTCTGGGAAAATAAGAAGAAAAAATAAGAATAAGGTAGAGGATTTTTTTTTAAGTCTGTGTGTTCAATTTGAAGAATTCATCCTAATTCTAAAATTACGATCTTCAAGTTGTTAAAATGGATGTCAAGATAATCTTCTCTTATAAAATGGTAGGCGATCATTATTCTTAATTTCATTTTACTGGTTTCTAAAATCTATTCCTCTAGTAGATGAGGAACGAAAGCTAGATCCTATAGCTGATCATGTAAACTCTGAAATCATTCAAGTCTGAAATCTCCATGATACCTGTATCATACAGTGTGCATTTTCATCAATTTTTAAATATTGGGGACTCCAATGGAATATTGTCTTAGCTTGCTGTAACAAAATACCAGAGATTGTGTGCCTTAAACCACAGAAATTTATTTTCTCACTGTTCTGGAGGCTGGAAGTCTGAGATTAGGGTGCCAACATGGTTGGGTTCTGGTGAAGTACCTCTTCCTGGCTTGAGACAGCTGCTTCTCACTTTTTTCTCACATGATAGAGACAGACAGCAAGTTCTCTGGCATCTTTTCTTATAAGGGCACTCATCCCTTCATGAAGGCCCCACTCTCATGACCTAGTTGAACCTTAATTACCTCCCACAGACCCCATCTACAAATACCATCACACTGGAGGTTAGGACTTCAACATGTGAATTTTTAAAAGACACAGACACGCAGCCCATTGTGAGTGTTGTTATGGTGTTAGGATGATGTTAGGCCAGGAATCCAGGAAAATTCAAATCCTTTCTTAATTAAGCGACCACTAAATTTCGGGACTAAAGGCAAAACAAGGCAAATAACACTATCACTACCTAAGACTGAAGTCTCAAACCCCAAGGCAAAACTCTGGTAAGCTAAGCAGTTAGGACAGAAGAACTCATTTGCTTTAGGTGGCTGGCTTAAATGAACTGTAACGGATGTTAAAAATCACAGCCCACGAACCAAGAATGGCTTTTACATTTCAAAGGAATCTAAAGATTTTGTAGCATCTGAAAATTATGAGAAATGCAGATTTTGGTGTTCCTAAATAAAGTTTTATTGAAACACAGTTGTGCCGTTCTTTTATGCATTGTTGTAACTTCTGTGCTACAATGGCAGACTTATATTGTTGCAACAGACCCTGAAAGATTTACTGTCTGGCCCTTTAGAGAAAAAGTTTGCCAATTCTGATATACAAACAAAGCTGACCAATGATTTGTTTCATCTATTCCCAAGACAAAATCTTAGCTGAAAACGTCATTTCAAAAAGATGCGGTCATACCCATCAACACTAAAAGAAATAGATCCAGAGACAGAGTACTTACCCCAAAGCCTGGCATGAGCTGGTCTAGAGATTGTCCACTTCAAGTTGTCTAATGCCACACACCCCTGTTCCAAGAGAAAACTAAGAGGGAAAGACAGATGGCTTCATTGGAGAATGAAAGAAGAAGAGAGGGCCTCAGTCCATGAGCTGATGTTGTCATTCCTTTGAAAAGTTCAGCCCTTACCAAATATAGTCTAGGGTCCTGGAATTGAACCATCCTGAATTAAGATTTATTTTCTTTTGAGTCTCTACCCCTCGATTGATATTTATCCCTGAAGTCAAAGGAGACCGGAGGAATGGAAGCTAAGAGCGTGGTACCCTTTCTAGAATTCAGCATTGACCAATGAAATTGGTGGCGCTGTTGACATATCAGGCCTCTTCCTTTGTTTCTGATTTGTTTTTATTTTGTTTATATTGTTTTTATTTTCCCTCCTTCCCCCAAACACACAAAGGTGATTTTAAAGGATGTGGATTCACTTCTCTACGTGGACACCGACGTTCTCTTTCTGAGACCCGTTGATGACATCTGGAAGCTTCTGAGGCATTTTAATGCCACGCAGCTTGCCGCCATGGCCCCTGAGCATGAAATCCCCAAGATTGGCTGGTACAGCCGCTTTGCTCGGCACCCTTTCTATGGCTCTGCGGGAGTTAATTCAGGAGTCATGCTGATGAATTTAACTCGCATAAGAAGTGCCCAGTTTAAGGTAAGGAAATACTTTATATTACATGTTTAAAAATTGGGAGTTTTAGTCATTTCAACAGTGATGTTCCTAGATTGTCAGTGTATTGATTTTGGAAGTAGGTGGCTTGTTGGTGAGGATGGAAGGGGCCAGGGAAGAGGAAAATATTTGGAAAGTTATGAAATATTTGTTCAGGAAAAGTCCCGGTGGTTATGGAATTTAAAAAGCTTCAGCAGAGTTGCTGTTCAGGAATGTTATGTTGCATTTCTGAATTCTATAATGTTTGAACTCTGTGTATACCCAAAGCTTCAAAAGCCATGGAAAATTCTGTGGAATTATCCTCGGGATATATTTATGTACATACACAGAGATAAGGCTGCTCGTGGCCTCATCTTTTATCCTAGTAAAGAACTGGAAAGAACCTAAATGAACATCAGTAGAGAACTAGTCAAAAATTAAAAACAAAAAACAAAAAACAAAAAACTCATCCTCCTATTAAGAATTCAATTAATCTATAAGTGAGATAAATTGATATCTAAAAAATATTAAGGGAAAGAGTGAAAATGAGACAAAGCATAGTACCATGAAGTATGATCTCTTTTATGATTTAGAAATTTCCAGAAGAATACCTAATTGTTAACTGTGGATATATCTGGGGAAAGTGGGGGTGGAGATGGTAGGAGGATGGAGGAAGAATATTTTTACTTCTTAACTTTATCTTTGTGTGCTGTTTGAATATTTAGTCTATGAATGTGTTGCTTTTACTGGTTCCTGGTCCAGCCCGGATCCATGTGTTATTGATCTAGCAAAACTCTATAAGTTTCCAGCTCTAGTTTTGCTTTGTCCTGTGTCTTGAGGCCAGCAGGACCCCTCCCCTGTTTGCTTCATTCCTGGAGGGTTTGAGGGAACCAGTTCCTCTCTATTGTTTCCCAGGGGACAGGATGCATTTGCTTTGCCTCAGCCCCTCTGATGGTTTTCTCTTTTGCAGAACAGCATAATTCCAACAGGCTTGGCTTGGGAGGACATGTTGTACCCTCTGTACCAGAAGTACAAGAATGCCATCACGTGGGGAGACCAGGATTTATTAAATATTATTTTTTATTTCAATCCAGGTAGGCTCTCTTGCGAGAATGCTGTTTGTGTAGGAGTCTGCCCACCACGCTGCACAGAGCACATTCCCGCCTGGTCTGCGATTGACTGAGCCTGGGTTGTGCCCGGGTTCCCCTGTGAAATGCGCCCTTTCATTCACACACACCACCACCCATCCCCCCATGCCTCCCCCACCTCCTCTCGGCCCCGGGGGCTGCCCTCACGCTGCTGACACAAAAGGCCAAATGTTGCAACCTCCAACACTGGACTCCATTTTTGGAGAATATCTTTTAGAGTTTGGCCACACCATTCTTCTAAGAAGTGTGGTCAAAATTATTGGCAGGGCACAGAACTGAATGCTGACATTATAAGCTAGACAGGGAGGCCCTCCGTGGCTAAACAATTGCTAGATTGAAGGGAATTGATTCTTGGGATCCCTACAGTTAAGTGACTTGTTTGGAGTTAAATGAGCCTAGAATAAGGACTTAGACTTCCATTCCTTTTTCTTTTCATGTGAGGCAAAAAAAAAAAAAAATTCCTTATACTGTATCAATGATTTGGTGGAGTTGAGGGAGGGAGATGAAAATCTCTGATCTGTGTTTTTTGATGTTGACACCTAAAACTAATAAAATTTCCTCTTTTCTTTCTTATTTGCTAAAACCGTATTTAATGTTGTTAGAATCAAAACCATGTTTTCTCCTCGAGAAAGATCTTTGGGGGAGGAAAAAAGCTCTTGTTACCCGGACTTTTCAGTTCATTTCTTTGCCTTTACAAAATCCTAAAATAGAAACTCCTGTCCATAAAGACTTCTGCCTGTGATAACCTGTCACTCTGGAAGCACCTACTATGTACTTGAATTGTTTTTTTTAAACAGAACTCTGAAATAAAACCTAGTCTCACAGGTCTTTGGATCTAGAAGGAGCAAATCCTGGAAAAGAAAAAAAAGCAGATTGAAAGAGAGTTTCTGGGGAAAATTCCCACTACGAATTCATTAGAGGAAGGGAAAGTCTTGGCCGTTCGCTGGTGGCATGTTTTAATCTGTTTACCTCTGACAGTAATAGGAACTTTAAGATCTGTACGTCCTCCTTTTTCTTCCTAAGCCGATTTCATCTCTTTTCTAGGTGTAGATGGATTGGTTAGGACTTTTGGCTGCGTGGAAAAGTTAGTCCCAGAGTTAGTCCAAGCACAAGGGATACTGTTATTAGCAAACTGCTATCTGCTAGAAACCGAGGGAGGAAGGCCAGCAGGCTGGACCCAGGACCTGAAGCGGGAGAGGGAGAATGAGGAGGCGGCCAAGGCGGGCTAGTTTTCTCCCACTGACATTGCTTATTCCTCTCTTTGTGGACCTTCTTCTCTGCTCCTCAGGCCTCAAAGCAAAGTACCCCACGTTTCGTACTCCAGGTGCAGCCACATGCAAAGATGAACTCCATCCTCACTCTGAATTCCCAGGGGGAGAAACCAGATGGTTCCAGTATGGGTCAGCTAGACCGGGAGCATGCAGCTACGAAATAATGGCTGACATTTATTATTTACTCGGTGCCAGGTGCTGGTCTAAGCATTATCTTCTTTAATCCTCACAACCACCCTGAGAATATGATCCCCATTTTACAGACAAAGATACCAAGGGAGAGTTTGGTAATTTGCAGCACTGCTAATGAGTGACAGAGCAGGGGTATATACCCAGGCTCCTCTGACTTCCGCCCTCTGCGTTTGGGGGAGAGGAGAAGTTCTAAGAGGGGCAATCCTAGAGAGCTGGGGAGACATCCCAAAATGTATCTCTGCACTGAACTATTCGTCCTTTACATATTGCATTTTGCTCTCTGTTATGTGGGTAAAACTATCTTTTAGAAGCCCATCTGGACATATTCCCAAACAGGAATTCTAAAGATTCGCAGTTTCCTCCTCAGAAATCCTCTTAGCCTGTTGCGGATTATTTGAGGACGTGATCAGTGAGTAAATAATACTTGAAGGCAGTTGTAAGCAGCTTTGCAATTAGACAGGAGCCCTTGTCTTTAATTGGAGCTGAAAACCAGCTGAGTTTGATGGCTTCTGTACTCCCCATCTTAAATCCATTGAGTACTCGAATATTATCAGATAGTTTGAGGTTGTTCTAAACCCTGGTTCTGAGCAGTACCAATAACCAAGTTTTCTAGCTTTCGATCGGCGAGTTCTTAGGTAACTGCTTGATGGCTGTTTCTGTGACCTGCGTTTGATCATCCTTTTACATACTTTCTGCAGGTACTTTATTAAACATGAGATCTTTGAACTGAAACCCATTGATATCCTTCATGTGATAGGCTCTTTCTTTGTTTATTTTGTGGTCACTTTCTATTAACCAGAAAATTATTTAGAAAAAAGATTGGTCATTTTTATCCCTAGAAAGGAGAGAGGGAGAGCGGGGAGAGGAGATTGGCCCTGACACAGGAGATAAACATGCTTGTTGTTATGGTCCTTTGGGGCGCCATGGACGAAGAAGCGATGCACAAGGGACGCCTGGGTGGCTCAGTCGGTTAAGCGTCTGCCTTCGGCTCAGGTCATGATCCCAGGGTCCTGGGATCAAGCCCCGCATCTCCCTCTGCCTGCTGCGCCCCTCCTGCTTGTTCTCCCCACCCCTCGCCCCGACAAATAAATAAATAAAATCTCTTTTTTAAAAAAGGCAATGCACAAAAAACCTGAGCACATGTCTGGAGTGGTATTATTATTATTATAGCCTCCTATAGCCAATAACACCACTTTTGAAAATATGTTTAAAAGTCATTCGTTTAAAAATATTTTAAAACTCTTGCCATAATTAGATAGTAAATTGCTATAAGTATGTAATTGCAGTGCTGGGTCCTAGACAAGAGGAGAGAGCTGGAGCTCAGGAGGGACATGCGGGTCGCTCAGCCATAGGACATTTCCTGGCATGTGAGGCAAGGTAGCTCCTTCAAGGGGTGGAAGATGGAGCTCACAGCTCTGCACGTGAGTTTGAGTCTAGGGCAGAGTTCTATAGAAAGGGTAGATTTGACCAAAGCCAGAAGAGCACCCTACACAGAAAGATGTGCTTTAATATGTTTGGGTTGCAGGGAACAAAACTCAGGCCAGCTAAGGAAGGGACCAGGGGGCAGCGGCCCTGGGAACACATGGGTCACATCGGGCTAGGCCTCTTGGGAGCTCGCTCTGTGAAACTCCTAAGGACCCTAGCTGATTTCTCCATCCCTCAGAGGCCATGGGGCCTTGCCTTTCTCCATGCCTGATTCCGTTCTATTTCTCAGCATTCTGTTTCATGTGGCCCAACCCTGAGCCCACACAGCCTTACAACCCCACAGCCAATGATGATGCATGTTTGGTAACAGCCCCCTTTGTTTCCTAATTCTCACTTTTGAAGAGACAGAGAGAGAGATTTGCCTGGCCCAACCTAGGAAATGACTCCAAGTCCAGCTAAAAACTATTTCTCTTTGGATAGAGAGACTGCCCATGATCTGGTCTTCAGGAGCCAGAAGAGCAAGGCCATGTGGCATTTTCCTCTCTCAGGCATGAACACCTAGGTCTCTCTCTTCTTCAGGAACAATCTCCCTAAAGGTGGGCTGTGGGTAGGGAAAGAAATGAAACCAGCCAAGTATAGATAAGGAGGCAGGGCATCCAGAAGGTAGCAACAGTAGGATTCTGCCCACAGGGAGAGGGAAGAGTTGAAATACCCCTGGAAGATACATAGATTGTCATGGATCATACAGGGAGTTGGAGGGGTTTGGTGGGGCCACAGGAAGCAGAACACATAGTCATGTGGTACAGCCTCTTCAGTGGCCCCGGACGGGCCTTGTTCTCATCCTGCCAGGGTCACTAGGGCCCTGCATTTTGGATATACAGCCACACTGGCTCCTCACCCCACCAAAAGCTCCCAGCATCTGTCAGCGGTGAGCTGTGGGGTTGACAGGCTCAGCTACCTGGCGTTAGGATTGTTCCGGGAAAATGGTAACATCTTCTTGTTTGGGGAGTCTGGGACTTTCATGAGCTCTGATACAAAGCCAAGAATGATGACTGTCAGATACTTGTGGGAAGTATCCTTGCTGCATTTACTTTTTGTCTTTCACGTGCAAGGCTTTGTCCCTGGAGCAGAGTTGGTCTTCAGAAGAGTCAGTTGGTCGAATGAATGGATTTGAGAGACTGGAGTGACAGAGGGAAATGAATGGAAGAGAAAGTCCACAGCAAGGAAATCGAGGAGTGGAAGGAGAGGGAGAAATCCAGAGAAAGCAGGACACACCTGGTAGCAGAAGGTAGAAGGTTCCATTTACTCATTCATTCAGCAGATACTGCTTGAGCACCTACTATGTGCCAGTCATGGTGGCAGGCACTGGGGATAATGCAGCAGACAGAACGGACAAGTGCCTATTTTCACGAAACCTACCTTTTATTGAAAGAGGTAGACTTCCAAAGAACAGCAAGTAGTTGTTACAAATCATGGGTTGTAACAAATGCTATAAAAGGAATAAATAGGGGCACCAGGGTGCTATTGCTATCGGTCGGTTAAGCATCTGCCTTCGGCTCAGGTTATGATCTCAGGGTCCTGGGATGGAGCCCTGAGTTGGGCTCCCTGCTCTGGGGGGAGTCTGCTTCTCCCTCTCCCTCTACCCTCCTCCCCCCACTTGTGCTCACTCTCTCACACGCATGCTCTCTGTCTCTCTTTCAAATAAATAAATAAAATCTTTTTAAAGAAAGGAATAAGTGAGGCATTGAGAGAGAGACTTTCAAGGCTGGAGGAAGAGGACTGCTTCTTTAGGTTGTGCGATCAGAACAGTCTTCCTGGAAGAATGTATTGCCCTTTTCTGGAACAAGATGCATTCTGGAAGAAGGAAGAAGAGGATGCCGGGAAAGCTCAGTTCCAGAAGGACCTTTAAAGAAACAAAACTAACAAACAAAAATTAATGATGCATCCAACAGCCTTCATTCTATTGGTAGCGTAGCGAGTGAGTAGCAAGCCTGTTTCACTATGAAGTGAAAATGATCAGGCATGAGCTGTTCCAGAATCTTAGAGAACCCAAGAGTACAAAATAATCAGAAACGTAAGGAGCAATCAATTCACACGGCACTTTGCGAATGGTTAGGAGGCTCTGGAAATAAATGTAGACTCCTGAAGTGATCACTAAGGGATTTCAGAGCCATAGATAATCAGTTAATGGGCTTCTTTATGTAAAAATGAAGAGGAAAATAGCAAAGACTAGGAGTTTGAAGAGGGGTTAGCTTGAAAAAAGATTTTAAAATAAATTGCAGTGGTTCGAGGCTTTGGGGATTTGGAATTTTAAAACCATTCATCATATTATTTCCTGAGCAGTGGAAAGTAACCTGTTTCCCCATGCTGTCATTTTTAAAACCATCAGATTTTGACAGCCCTGATAATCTTGCTTAAAATAGATCCATTTCAGAATGGTTATTGATCATGTGCCAAATAGACATCATTAGTCCACTCTGCATGTTCATCAGCTGATCTCCATAGATGTTCCCTCTTTAGTCCACCCCATGATGCTAGTTTGACCCCTCTCCTCCTCCCCCCACCTCCCGCCCGTTAACCAAATGGAGATTTCAGAGTGTAACCCATGCAAAATGTATCTGTGAATAAAAAGACACAACTGTTACTTTTAACTGCCCACTCTTGATTTCCCTTTCTTTGGATTACAGGGCCCCAGTTTTCTTAGGGGAATTACTCTTCTCTCTCTCTCTCTCTCTCTCTCTCTCTCTCTCTCTGCCCCACCCCCCACCTGCTTTTGCATGCAGTCCTAGAACTCCGTCTGCTCCTGACTTCCACTCACCCGGTCAGACCACATCCTCGGAACCTGAGTCTGGGGATCCAAGAGCAGAAAGTAGCCAAGGTTTCGGTGTTGGCGATGTTGGCAGCCGTGCTGAAGAGCTGACATTAATTAGTGCCCACCTGTCAGAGTCCAGGAGCTGCCCCACAACCTGACCTGGTTCAGCTTTACCTCTGATTTTATGAGCTACTCCCTCTCTTTTCAAGGAAAAATTCTTTTCCTTTTTTTTTTCTTCAAGCTGGAATCAAAGTTAGTTCCTTGCAATCCAACACAGATATATATTTCTTGAATATTTTAGGTCCGAGCAGTCTGTTTATATGACAGCTTTGCTACCGTTATCTTAGCCCTTTGAAGAGACTGAATTTATCCCAGCAAAATTAAATAGCTTATCTTTCGTAAAGCACACTCTGATTTCCAAACTCTTCACCATGATCAGGCCATTTTCTCTTCCTTGAATCTTCTTCCAGGGCTCCATTTTTGACTGTCAAAATCCCATCCTTAGTTTGTAAGTCTGAGTTTAAATGAAACTGTACTGAAATATCCTCCTTTCTATGAATCCTGATAAAAACATGTTCATTTTGACTTTACTACATACTGTCTCCCTTACAAGAGTATAAATTCCCCAAGGGCAGGAGCAGAGCCTTATCATCCAGCGACACCAATGTCTTGCAGTATGTGAATGAATTCTTCTTTCAGTTACAAGCTTTTTGCATTTCTTCCTCTGAAAAATTCTGAAGGGAATTGTAAAGATGTGAATTGAATTCTGTCTGGCATCCAGTTTCATAGTTGAGATTCAACAGCTGGGTTTTAGCTGGTCTTTAGGAAATCAACAAACCCCTAAACTTATGAACAAGTGTTCTTAAATATGCCCAGTTGTACCTTTCCAATGATAAGGTCGAAGGCTTTCATTAGACTCTGAGATCTGTGATCCATAAAAGGTTAAGAATGACTGGCCACCTGCATATCTAGAAACAACTGGAGTAAAACCTTTATTACCAAGGTACCGTGTGTTGAGAACTATGCTAGGCTCATTCCCTTTTTGTTTTATTCTTCCAGTAACCTAATGCAATAGTTCTTATAACAATAACAATGGTCATAGTCATGATTACAGCTTACAGTTATTGCATGCTTTCTATGTGTCGTACCGTTCCAAATACTTGTATTGATAAGTTCACTTGGTACTCCCCAGGATCCTACTGGACAAAATATTTACGGTCCTCCCCCATTTACAGATGATGAAACTCAGGCTCAGAAAAATTACGTAATTTGGCTGAGTTCATGCAAGTAGGGTCAGTCCTGTCATTCAAAGACAGTGTGGGTTGACTCCAGGGCTTGCTCCCTTAGCCATTTCACTATTAGCATAATAAAGCTGGAGTTCAACCCCAGATAACTTAGCTTCTTTTTACTGCTTCAAAATTGAGGTCCAGATAACTCATCAAGGTTGTAGAGCTAGGAGACGTTGGAAGCCAACTTTGAACATACATTTATCTGATTTCGAAGCCTTTCTATTTCATCTTCTGCCCTGGAATGCCCTCACTGGGTGTGGTCCTCTCAGGAGGCTGCAAAGAAAAGAAAGGTTTCCTTAGCAGGGGGTCCTGTACTACCTGCGAAGAGGCAAAAACCTCCATCACCAATCTCAAATGCCACAAAGGCAGGAACCAGACTTTCCTTTGCCCGCTGGGTACAAAGCAGGCACTCAATAAATATTTGTTGATTCAATCAGCGTATTTACAAAAACAGATGGGTTCTAGGGCAGTTCACTCAGCAGGGAACATTAGCAGGTGCTTAAGCAGGGATTCAATTGCAAATACCGAAGCAGGTATCATAAATGAGCGATGCGATTCATGGGGTTCCGAAAGGCCACAATTGGTCTGAGGTCAGACACAGTTTAAAAGCACACAAGCACTTTTAATACTTTCTGTCACAGAATCCTCACGCCCACCCCCTGCACTAGAATGCAAAGTCACACAATTCCAAGAGGAGTTTAAATCTAGATAATATGACTTCAGGGTGAGCCCTACCCTCTCCCAGCTATGGATTATATATGTACAAGTGTGGAAATGAATGCAAGTAAGAGCAGCATCCCGGTGGAAAGGCGTTCTCCCGAGAAAAGGAAAATCTCGCAGGGTGTTGTGAATGATTAAGAATTGGAGGGTGCCTGGGTGTCACCATGGCCCATAAAGACTGAGTGGTAGAATTATTGCACACAGTCCACCAGAGGGGATGTGTGATGATCTCTTCCTTGTTTGCTTTCCATCTCGAAGCTCTCTGGAAGCAGTCTCTAAGAAGGGATGGCCGTCAGCCCAACCCACGAGCACATCTCTATGTTGCTTTTCTGACAACGGTAATTGATTTGCTCTAATGCTTCTGTGTTCTCACAGGGGGCCTTTCTCATGAACAGTGACACACACTCACAGAGAGCTTTGATTCCTACTGCTCTTGCCCCAGCCCTTAAAGGCATCAAGCTGAGGAGCCAGGAAGCTCAGGGGTCGTGAATTTGTTGCTAATTTTGTAATCCTAGCCGTCCAACAGGATTAGAGCCGAGTTTCTCAACCTTGGCACTGCTACTCTTGTGGAGGTTGTCCTATTCATTGTGGAATGTTTAGAGTATCTCTGGTCTCCACCCACTAGAGACTAGTGGCCTCCTCCATGTATGACAACCAGTATCTCCCTCCAAACATCGCCAAATGGCCCCCGGGGAGGCCCTGGCAAAGAACCACCAGATTTGAGATACACATACAAGTACACAAGTGTGCACATGCTCACCCACAATGTGTACAGTCGCCTTGACACAGGGACTTTTTTATTTCTTTGCTCTTTTGGGGGGGTTCTCCCCTTTACTGTTGTAGTTTTTTGTTTTTTCCTTCCATTTTGATTTTGTTGGTTGGTTGGTTTTTAATCCAAAGAGGAACCTTTGCTTCAAACTTGATTCCAATTTTCCAAGTCTGTCTGTTTCATAAAACCTTCCCTAAGAGTGGGTTGTAAGTGCTAACACGGTTGACCACCACTGTGTGCTTGGCATTCGGCGGAGCATTTTACCCATGTCTTTTAAATCTAATCATCCCGGTGGGAGGGAGTTCCTATCCTACCCATATTACAGATGAGGAAAGTGAAGCACAGGGAGGCTGAATCGCTGGACCTAGGTTGCAGTGTTTTTGAGTGAGAGAGTGTGGGTTTGGACCTGACTTTGTTGGCCTCCTTGTCCCCAGTGCATTGCCCTCCTTTTTGGGGGTGAAACCTACAACATCACGAGTATGTGCCCCTTCCATTCCTGATCTCAAAATATGGACAAAATATGGTGAAGGTTGGACCGTGAGTCCCAGTCACACTCCCAGGCACTGAAATCGCGTGTGGTGTGCAGGGTATGGAAACACGGGTTTAACCAGCAGGTGCGCAGAGGAGAGAGGGCACTGACTGTGGACGCGTCTTTCTCTTGTCACCACCAGAGTGTCTCTATGTGTTCCCCTGCCAGTGGAACTACCGTCCCGATCACTGCATGTACGGAAGCAACTGCAAAGAAGCTGAGCGGGAAGGCGTGTCTGTCCTGCACGGGAACCGAGGTGTCTACCATGACGATAAGCAACCCACTTTCAAAGCACTCTATGAAGCAATACGGGATGTAAGTGTGTCCGCTACCCCTCCCAACTCCGCCGTATAGCAGACGCATGCGCACTCCACATGAGGCAGGACAGTTGCTTGGGTCCCCGGCACCTCGGAAGGCCAAAGAATTCCCCAAAAGCATTGAGTTCTGCCCCTTTCCCCAATCTCAGGTACCACCTCACTGTATCAGCTCGCTCCCTCATATTATAGCCACTCCTAATCTTTACAAGTAAGTCACTATTGTGGCGGGGGGGGGGGGGGGGAGGGTCCTTAAATAAGTTCACTTGAGGAAATTAAAGACCCAGAAAGAAACCCCCTCTGCCATTTGCCATAACAGAGGGGAATGTGTTAGGGTAAAGATCATGTAATAAGAACAGAATGATACCACTCAGCGCAAGCTGAGTGTGTTGCCTGGTTGCCAGCATCCTGTCGAGAAATCCGGTGTGGAGGTGGTCAATTAGGACAAGGGATCAAACTAAAAGTAAAAATCAAGTCTTTATGTACATACTGCAGCGGTACAAGCAAGAGGCAGAAAGAGGCACGAGCTCCCCTGTGTTGCGTACCTACTCAGCAAGGGGTACTGGTCAAGAGAATGCAGCAGAGAGGCAGAGATCCTCTCAAGGCTCCTGCATCCTTATGGACTTGTAGGCCAGGGGAGGGGGAAGGAGAAGGGAAAGAGGGACGAGTGGAAGGATACCCCTCCTTTCCCAGGAGACCTCCAAATGGAGGTGTCTGGGATAGGAATGTAGGTACGAATTTGAGCGTGGCTGGCCCGGGGTAGGGGCCTGAATTCTTGACTCAACTCCTTCAAGTAAACTTGCCTGTGCACCAAATCTCGTGTCAGGAGGGCAGCTCCCCATCCCTCCAGAGGACTGCCAGCAGCCTCATCATTACCTGTGGTTGAGTCTGAAAGACCAGACATAGGATTTTGGCCTGGAGCTGGACTTCTCACAGCCTCAGGCCCCCTCTTACCACCTCGGAGAGATTGATTAGCAAGTGTTGAGGTGTTAAAGATGCCTGGGAACTATCTTCTTGCAGTAAATGGGAAGGTTGAAAGAAACTTACTTTGGGGCTCACTACCTAAAATGCCAGATATTGCTGGCCCTTGCCTTTCATCCCACACTTGGGGAAACGCTGCATTCCACATTGCTTTTTACCTTGAGATCACTAGGGGGAAACCAGCAACAGAGATTCAGGGATGTCCCTTTTGAAACGGTAATTCCAAGACATAGAGTAGGGGTCAGGGAACTTGGGCCAGATCTGTCTTGCTGCCTGTGTTTGTAAGTTGTGTGGGCTGGGAACGGATTTGTAAATCATTGGGAAAAAAATAATATTTCATGTCGTGAGAAAATTATATGCAATTCAGATTTCAGCATTCATAAATAAAGTCGTATCGGGACGCAGTGACACCCATTCATTTATGTGTTTGTCTGTGGCTGCTTTCAGTGGAAGAGATGAGTATTTATAACAAACTGTGTGGCCCACAAAGTCTAAAATATTTACTGTCTAGCCCTTTATAGAAAAAATTTGCTGACCCCAGACATAAAGTATGTAGACTTTGTTAGAGATATTTTTCTTAAGAATCCACGAACCCTCATGGTTTCACAAATGGCCCTTGGCGGGAGCGAATCCCGAGACACAGGAACACATTTTTGTGTGTGTGAAAAATGTGCATCTTGCTAAGGAGAGTCTCTGGAATTCCAGAATTTTCTCTGCAGGGAACGAGATTAGCCTGCATGTAAGCTAACACCGCTTTCGTCTCCTGCATTTCCTGCTGTTGGTTTTCAAAGACCAAGTGATTTAATTACACAGAAAACTTGTTATGTACTTAGTGATATCATTACTTTAGATATTCAAACACTGACTCCGGGGCAGAGCCATTCAGGAGTGCAAACAGAAGTTAAATGAGTTTGCAGCAGTCCATCAGAGCCATGCTTGGGTTTCTTCTGTGATCTGCCAGCCCTAGTCTGGAATAGAGCAACTGTGGTTCTTGAGTTACCATGCGTCTTGTTTGCTTTCTGGAGGAACAGAAAGAAAGCCAAATAACTGGGTCATAAATGATCCTGCCAAATACACACAGTTATGATCCTCACGTGGGCCTACAAGGACCATTTGCATTCAGGGTTTTAATCAGGAATATCACTAACCCCATCCTCTAATGGGAACAAACATGGACTCCCTCTTGGAAGACACGTTTACCCACTCTCCACAGGGCGGCGCACCATGTGGTGGGGTCAGGGCCTGGCTTGGGGATGGACAGACCTCAATGCAAGGCCCAATTTTTGTCCCTTTCTGGTTATTAGTCATTAACTCTGTGCTCTTACCTTACTGGGCCTCAGTTTCCTCATTATCTCCTCAAATGGAGATAATAATATCATCTGCCTCGTAAAATTGTTGTGAGGATTCCACAAAATGATGGGTTTTAGATTTTATTTATTTATTTATTAGAGCATGAGAGCTGGGGAGGAACAGAGGAGGGCGAGGGAGAGGAAACAATCTTCAGCAGACTCCACACCGAGTGTGGCACCCCATGCGGGGCTTTACCTCATGACCCTGAGATCATGATCTGAAAGGAAAACAAGAGCTAGAAGCTCAGGGGCGCCTAGGGGGCTCAGTCGTTAAGCAGCTGCCTTCGGCTCAGGTCATGATCCCAGGGTCCTGGGATCGAGCCCTACATCGGGCTCCCTGCTCAGCGGGAAGCCTTCTTCTCCCTCTCCTACTCCCCCTGCTTGTGTTCTCTCTGTCAAATAAATAAATAAAATCTAAAAAAAAAAAAAAAGAGTTGGACGCTCAAATGACTGCACCACCCAGGCACCCCAAAATGATGTTTTTTTTTTAAGCTTGTAATACAGTGCCTGACATACAGTTGTGCTCAATAATTAGAAATTGTTTCGATGATAGCAGTTTCACACTTACCTCCTTCCCTACCTTGTCCACATTGTCTCACTCGCTCTCTCTTCCTCTGTCTGTAAAGATGTTTTCTCTCTCTCAAACTGTATTTCTTTCTCCCTTCATCTCTCTCTGAAAGTATTCTTCCTGTCCCTCCCCTTTCCCTCTCCATCTCTTCTCTCTCTCTCTCTCTCTCTCTCACTTGCACACACAAACCCTAAGCCTCGGTGTCTGTGTTTGTGCAAACGGAAAGTGCAGTCTCCTTCCATTGTGATCCAAGGACGTCATCTATCAGGTAGACATTCTGTCAGTAATTCTTCCAGCCAGCATCTACGAAGAGCCTATTTTATGCAGGAACAATTCTAGGTTCTAGGCACTCAGAAGTTAACAAGACCAACAAAGCCCGGTCGTCGGGAAGCATGTACTGTGGGTGGAGGAAGCCACAATACTCACATGGACAAAGAAAGGAAGAAAAATTGTACCAGGTAGTGAAAGGTGTTAAAAGGGAACAATAGCAGGGTGATGGGCTGAGAGTCACGGGCAGGGAAGAGCGCTCGAGAGCTGGTGTCCTCAGGGGACCTCCTCAAGACTGATATGTGATCAATGGAGGCAGCTATGGGGTAGTCTGGGGGAGGATCCTGCTAAGTAGAAGGAATAACCCAAGGAAAGCCCTGGAGGCAGGGATGAGTTTGGTGTGCCCAAAGGGAGGGAAGAAGCCAGGGTAACCAGAAGGACAGAGACACCCAAGGAGAGTTCCAGGTCACATGGAGCCTTGAGGACAAGAGAGGAGTTGGAATCTTAAGTGCAGCGCAAAGCCCCTGCAGGAAAATGATATGGTCTGATTTAGGCTTTAAAAATATCACCTCGGTAACTCAGTGCAAGGAGGCAAGAGTGAGAACACAAGGGCTATTTATGAAGAGTTACTGCAGCCATCGAGGTGAGACATGGGGGCAACAGGAAGGTGGGCAGCGGTGGCCACATGAAGGCATCGTGGTAAGGAGAGATTTTACAGTGCTTGCTGATAGCCTGGAGGAGGGATGTGGGGGAAAGAGAGAACCAAGGATGACTCCAAGGCTCTGACCTATTCTTTTCCTGTCCCTAGGGATACCGTGATGAAAAAGGAGTTAATCAGTGGTCTAAATTGGGCTGAGAAAAAAAAACAGTTGTCCCAAACATGGTCCTTCTTGTGTTACATAATGCATAATCTCCTTCTGGGAAGAAATTCACATTTCTGATAAACATGCTTAAGCAATATTTCTGATGAACTTTAAAAGGATTAAAACTTGTTCTAGGAAACCGGACACCCACCCACTCTGCTGCCGGGCAAGCATGTACTGACCGTTCACCGTTCTTTTCTTCCTTTTTTTTTTTTTTCCTAATCTTTTTGTATAAAATTTCCTCGCCAACAATGAATCTTTGACTTGACCTACTGGAGGCCTTTTCCATTTCTACCAGTTTGTAATAAAAATTTGAACATGCTCATAACTAAGTGGTCAAAAAGATTTATTTTGGAAAATTCTGCTCATAAACACCTTTCATGGGAAAACAAGAGAATTTCAAATCAAAAGCCCAGTATTATGTGGGGAAAAAACAACAACAACCAATATTTGGTACCTGAATTATTTTAAAATGAAGTTCAGTGATGATAAATTTTACTAGTAATGGCTAAACTCTGGACTTCATGAGATTACTATAGACATACCCTAAAGTTTCTTCATTAAGAGTACAACAAACAGGTGCCTGGGTGGCTCAGTTGGTTAAGCGTCCGACTCTTGGTTTTGGCTCAGGTCATGATCTCAGGGTCATGAGATCGAGCCCCATGTCTGGCTTTGTGCTCAGGAGGGAGTTGGCTTGAGAGTCTCTTGTTCCCTCTTCCTTTGCCCTGTGTGCTCTGGCACGTGGGTGCTCTCTCTCTCTGAAATAAATAAATCTTAAAATAAGTTGCAACAAATGCAAAAAATATGAAGAATTCAATGTTTTATCGCAGATTTCAAGTCTCTACTCACGCCTTGCTTCTCCTCAGCAAGAGCATACTAAATAGAGAATATCTTGACCTTGAAGATATATTTTGATCTTAGATTTTAAGAGCTTTAAGGACCCAAATAAATCATCTTTTTTTTTTTTTTAGAGGTAAAGAAACTGAGGCCCAGGGATGGTAAGTAATTGCCTGGGGCTGCACAGGATTGAATCAGGTTTTGAATCCCCATCAAATGTCTTGGAACATCCAAACCTATGCCTGCATGCTTAATTCCCTGTTTCATTTTTTAGTAAATGTTGTTTGCATTTTAAATGGCATTTTAGTCACTAAATTTTCTATCATTTTTTTTAAATCCTTTTTTAGTTTCCCTTTCAAGATAATCTCTTTCAATCCATGTATTACCCGCTCCAGCTGAAGTTTTTGGAGACTGTGCACACTTTATGTGGACGAATCCCACAAGTGTTTTTGAAGCAAATTGAGAAAACAATGAAAAGGGCTTATGAGAAACACGTCATCATCCAAGTGGGCCCCAACCAGATGCACTGAATATTTTTCATATTGTCACAAGTGGATTCAGCCTCTCGAGAACAAGGCAACGTTCATCTTTAAGCTGCCTGGATCTCTTCGTGTGAATATTTAATGGTGCTCTGTGACAGTTGCGTTTAAAAGGCCTCATTACAGTTTCCTCAATTATTTGCCCCTAAAAGGAAATATGCTTTAATTTTTTTAAAATTGCTATTTATCTCTCTGTTTTTTTTTTAAATTGTATTATTACTCACTTAACATTGTTCAAACAGGTGGAGCTAGCTGTGAAAAGGAACTTTTGTGAGTCTTCCAATTCCTGTTAAATGTCTGAGACCACGTCAGTGACATCTCATGTGGTGTATTAATCTAATATTCTTGTGACTCTCTCTATGCAATGGACTCCCCCATATCCTTGTTATAAAAGTAATACATGCTTGTTGTAAAACAGAAAAATGTTAAAAACTTGTAGGGAATACAGATCCGTGGACCAAAATCAAAATTAGATTAGCCATAATCCTACCAACCGGTGAAAAGATTGTTATTTTAATGGGTGGATGCTCCCAGCCTTTTCTCCCTATTTCTATATTTATTTGCTTGTTGTCTTTTCCATTGTAACACATATGCAAAACAGGCAGTTTGAGTAAAAGCTGGCCCCTATGCTGAGATATTTCTGTAGAGACAAAAATTTAGAGAGAATGATTATGTTTACAGTGCTTTATTTAAAATACATCTGGCAGAAGTATTCAGATTTCTGCTGATTGGGCAGTGTTAAAGGATGGAGCATATCTGGGGGTGTTTTTAAAGAAAAGCTGTTTAGATTAGTGGAAGATTAAATAATAAGAAATATTTATGCAACCATACCTTCTGAAAGGAAATTCAATAATTGTGTTAAACCCAAGGGGTCACTTTAACAGAGATGTGATTTTGTGTTTACCCACAGACAAAAACATTTTATCTCTTACCTTAGTAGGGGTGACCTTCTCTCTTCTTTAAACTCTTGGGCAACAGGTGGAAATTAAAGGCCAACTTCAAACTTACGTGTACAGAATAGATAGTTCAGCTGATTCCATTGACAAGAAAATTCAACTTCCTACCAGCCTTAGAAGGGTCTCTTTAAATTTTATTTCCTTCTCTAGGGTTACCCAGCTGTTAGCCAAGGAACCAGGCAGGTCTTATCACCTAGCTACAGTGGAGGAAATTCTATAGTCCCCCAAGGGATCTGACTTAATCCCTGGTTGCTCCTGTAGCTGGTATCAGGGTAAGAGTATTTTGCATAAGGCTTTATTTACCTCAAAAAACTTGTGCAGAAATGATATTGATGTTCACAACAGCCTAATGGACTTAGTAGGGGCCTGTATCATCTCCACTGGGCAAATAAGGAAATTATAATACAAAGAAACAAGGACACCCGATATAATTGCTGTTCTGTAACACATACAGGTATGGTAAGATGCATCCTGTTTTACAGACAAATTTTTGGAAGTAAAAGTATTAAAAACGTTTCATCATATATAGACAGTGATCTAAAAGCATAAAAAGAAAAATAATATTTTGATAACGCAAATATGGTATTCTATATATTGGAGCCCAGTTGGATATCACAGGTACTATATCCACAGGAAAAGTCTTACCCTGAAAAAACATATGAAAATCTCAACACTCCAAAGAAATATATAGATATTAATCAATACTGGTATACAGAACCCTTATGGTAGTAACAAATTCTCAAATGTTAGAGGAATGGCCTATACGTTCCTTTTGATCAGTTGGGCGGCCTGTGATTTGTTATTTTTGTGAAGGAAATTACCATTATGATATGTTATATTGTTATATTTTCTGTTTCCTCATTTCACCATTAAAGGTGATATCATTTATTATTTTATATCTAAAGGCCTTAGGGTAATTTTTGGATCCCACAAATGGGGTTTTAGTGAAAGAGTTAGAATGTAAACATGATTCCCTGACTTCCATTCCAGTCTTTCTACTTGTTCAGCATGGCCAGTAAACCCTACAAATGTCATTCAGATTTGTTGGTGACTTACAGACCTAAAGAAGTCCTTTCTGCCTTCGGTGAGTCCCACAAAAAATCTGCTGTAAAGACTTTGAATACCGCAACACCTTTTCTTTTATGAGAGTCTGGTTTACCCACAACTCTTAACTATTGGTTCTGGTCTGAATACCCAGAAAAGGTCCATGATAGAATTCTAGAACATTCTAGAATGCTGCATTATGAGAATGTGAAACCTTAGAATTTGGTGTGGTTTTCTGCCTTGGAATTTCTTCATGCTATCCTGATATTTGAGGTGAGTTTGGTGGAGAATTTGGAGAACATTTGCTCTTCCAATCCCTGCTGCCTGAACATGTTAATTATTTTCCATTTAGTATGTTACTATGAGGCAGTATTTTCTCTGCCTTTGATAATTTCTAGACAACTACAACATTAGTGCCTTTGAAATCTGGGAACTGTGAATTTTAATTCAGTGGACTCCTAAATCATGCAGTCTGTGATCTGAAGTTTGTCAAAGGTTGTGTTGCTCCGTATGGCACATTGAATCTACATTGGGAAGAGCATGAGACTGGTTCTCTCATCTCCTCTTGTTTCCTGTAGAATTCTGGTCAATGCATATGACTACAGAGTTCCATTGGAGAACGAAAGAACACTTGCCAATAGCAAAATGTAACAGTATTTTTGTATGCATGGAGATTGAGACTTTCTATAGGAGGGTCACTAGAAATACTTACAATATTTTTCTTAAGTTTTTTTCCAATACAAATCTCAGAAATTGTGACTTATGTTGAAAATTTCAACATTTAAGAAAAAATTAATTGGCTAGAAAATCTGTTTAAGTTTTCCTTCAACTTCCTGAATGACAATTTAGCATTTAGGGCATAACACTCCAGCTTCGCTATTTATTTGAAATCTCTATTACATACTGAGTGCTTCCATTGCAAATTGTTGTCACTATGACAGGAGTTATTATTGAAATGGATATCTATATGGACTCATCAAGGTTTGGGAGTATTTATCTTATTACACTTATAGTGTTCATAAAACAAGCAAGCCATACAAGACCTTATTGACATCACAAAATAGTGCTCCAGTAATAGAATAATCACTCCACCCACCCAGAAGAGGGGACATGTCCATACAAATTTAGATTTATGTATAAATATTGCCTGATACTTACACACACAAAAAAAGATAGATTGCATTGGATTGTATCACGTTGGATGAGCCAACGTGAACATGATTTCATGACTGAAAAATGTTGGATGCCATGGGGGTACAAATCATTATATCCTCATCGAATGATATGGTAAGCAAGCTTTCTTAGGTTTTCCTGTTTCCTGGGTCCTACTCTTTCATCTTCCTTTTTTTCATTTTTGCCTTTCCCTTCCTGTCTTTGATGTAAGCTACTGAGTAGTACCAAGAGGCTTGGCATTAATGGCGGGACAACAGATCCCTGTGCAGGCAGGAGGAAGTTCTAATCCTTAGATGGATTCTTTATGATAAAAACTTTCAAAAATTTTTAAAATCACACAACACATACATAGATACACACACACACACACACACACCCCACATGCCTTTTAAGGAAAGAGCCCTGGGAATCCGTTGTGCTCTGTGAATTGAAGGTTTCTAGATAGTGACATCTTAGGTCAACTCATTTCACGGTTGCAGTGCTGGTGTTTGAAGCTGATGAGATTTTGCTGCCAAACGGAGAAAGTTATCCTAGTTTCTGTTCTTCACAGGTTAAAACTGGAAATACTGTCTTGAGCCTCAAGATAAAACGCTTGTGTGTGTACGTGTCACCATCTGCATGAACATGTAAGAGTCATGGGCAGTTTCTGCGTCATTAGGTTTACATGTTTGTGTTGTCACTGAAAAGTGCACCGTTGTTTATAGCTCCCAAGGAGACCCTGCGTGGATTTTTTTTATGTTGGAAAACTTATTTTTCAGTAATTTTTCTTTGGGAAGAAATGAACATAAAAAACAGAATACTCCAAAGAAAATGAATTGTTAAAGCAAATTAAAAGAACAAATATTATGATTTAATTACTTGTCTTTTTGAACGCCATCTCCTGTTTTACCCTTTTTTCTTTTTTTTAATTAAAAGCTTTAAAAAAAGACATGTCTTTTGGTGTTATTTTGTAAGTGTGTTTCTTTTACAAGATTTCAAGTTTGAAGTTTTATAATATTAAATAGTAATATTTAAGTCCTTCCTTTTAAGAACTGGTAAAGAAATATTTGGTTTAGTAAGTAGCTTAGCCTATTTTTAAAAGTCATTAAAACTTCGCTTTGTTTTTAAAAAAAATGCCATACCATAGCAGTGCCTGGCTGGCTCAGTGGGTAGACCATGCGACTGCTGATCTCGGGGCTGTGAGTTCAAGCCCCATAAGATTAAAAAAAATTTTTTTTAATGCCATACTATAAATTATATGTTATTTGGTTTTAAGGATGTTTTATGTTTGAGGTACAATGAGGAGAATTTGGAGGATGTGAAAATCAGTTCTCCCCATTCCTCCATGTTATTTGGCAGAATTGAAATTGACTTGTTAAGCTAATAATACATATCAAAAATAACTGAACCATGCCAAGAGTTTTTGAGTCTATACAAAGGTTTTTTTTTTTTTCCCAATCCCTAGTCTCTTTTTAAAATCAGCACAAGGTACTCCATGCATCTACTGAATTCCCTCTTTATATTTTAGAACATTTTAAAATGCTAAGAGGGGCACCTGGGTGGCTCAGTTGGTTGGGTGACTGCCTTCGGCTCGGGTCATGATCCTGGAGTCCCGGGATCGAGTCCCACGTCGGGCTTCCTGCTCAGCGGGGAGTCTGCTTCTCCCTCTGACCCTCTTCCCTCTCGTGATTTCTATCTCTCATTCTCTCCCTCTCTCTCTCAAATAAATAAATAAAATCTTTAAAAAAAATAAAATAAAATAAAATGCTAAGATACTTGGATATGGTTTTCTGGAATAACTGGGAACCCACATCCAATTATTATGTGACATATAAGTTTCAGGAACTACATGTAGACAATACTGAATTTAAGTCCCAGCCCCAGCATTCTCAATCCTTACTGACCCTCTTTCCACTTCAGACTTCCCACCTGCCAGGACAGGGCTGAGGAAGACCTTCCTCCTGGATTGTGGTAAGGAATAAACACAGAAACATGGAATTTCAAAATCTTAAAAATTCCTTGTTTGTGGTCCTCTAACTCTACTAAGTAAATGGCTAATTTTAAAGAGTATCAGATTGAAGGAATGGCAACCGATTTGCCCTTCTCTTCCTTTGTTTTATAAGCTGGTAAATGTCACCAATATCCACCTGTTGCCTCATCCCAGAAACCTGGCCTTTACTCTTGTCTGCTTCCTCTCCCTCCTTGCACACCACCCTCCTCCCTGAATCATCACTTCCCCCACTAAAATAGCCCACTCCTGGTACCGGTTTCTGCAGCAGCAAAAACCCTTCAAATTGTAAGTGACCACATACAACTTAAACCAGTGCAAGACAAGCAGAGGGTGTATTGCTTCTACCTCCAGGATATTAACGGAGTCAGCTTACTGTGTTTGTCTTCACTGTTGCCTCCGTTCAAACCATTACTGTCTGGAGGTCTTGTGATCTCTGGCCTGGATTGTTGTTCTACTGCCTGTCTTCTCTCCGCATTCACTCTGGCCCCCATCAAACCATAACCTGCCCCACCTGTATGAAGCCCTTCAGTGGTTCCCCTTTGCTCCTATGGTAATAACCAAACTTCTTTCCAAACTGCTCAGAGTCCCTATGTGAGCTACACCCTGCCTATCTCCCTGGCCTTGAGTTATTCTTCCCCACTCCTCTAATTATCACTTTTGCTGGTTTGTTTTCTCTTCTCTTAAGAAGCCAAGCTCTTATCCATAAAAGGGTCTGCACGTGCTTGGAATCCTCCAACCGGCAAATTCACCTGGCAAATTTCTAGTATCCTTCAGGTCTTGATTTAAATACCCTTTTCTCGTGGAAGCCTTCTTGGATCCCCCCATAAAGACATGTGCTCCTCCTGCCCTCACTCATCAACCTTTACTTTCTCTTTTCGGTATGTATTGAAATAGTAACAATGCTTATTGGGGTAAAATATCTCGTTTATTGACTGCCTTCCCCACTCGACACAATGTTCCTTGAGAACGTGTAGTCCTTGGTGATCTTGTTCCTTGTTCTATGCCCATCGCCTAACTCAATGACTAATACATTTCTGGTGCTCAAAATATATTTACCGAGAATGAAGTGATTCTGCTGTATCATGGACTGGGACCAGTTCTTATCCACAAAGCTTCACAACACACTGTATTCACTTTGAGTGTTGTTCTCAAAAACTATTTTTCTTATAAATGTTCATTGTTCTAGGTTATAATACCCTATCCTCTAAAGTCTCATTCATTGAAAGTATAATGATTCATTGAATTTCATGGAGATTTACTTACTTGTCCAAAAAGTGACATGGATGGGTTACATAATGTTTAACTTCCTTTCTACATAAATGCTCTGTTTCCGTAATCTGTTTTTGATGGCTCTGTTGTGGACATTTGTGGGATTTTGGCTGCCTGAAAACTATACCATGCTCAGTACCAATTTCTGCATTAGTTAAAACTCTTTAAATTGCAAGGGACAGCAAATACAACTCAAATTAATACAGAAAAAGAGACACGGAGAGAGGGAGATGGAGAGAAAGAATGTATTGGCTCGTGTAAGTGCAAAATCCAGAAATAGCTCTGAATTCAAGGCTTAAATGATGCCAAGGGAAATGTATCATTTTAACAATGCTTTTTTTTCGTTAATATTTTATTGAAAACCACACATCCTTCTAGGATTCCAGCCATAAAATTTTCATGTCATTCCAATAGAATCAT